AAAGTTTCTGCCGAAAAGAATGTTCCTTTGTCGAGATATTGAATATTCAAGTAAATTCGATTTTTGTGACAAACGACCGTTTTCTGGAAGTTTAATATCTCAACCAAGGAATATTCTTTTCAGCTGAAACTTTCATGAAATTCTGAGAGTGATCAGACTTATCTAGGGAGTAAATTTCATGTCGAAATTCCGTTATTTAATTCTTCGGTAAATACTTAAACTTGTATCGAAAATTCAGTAAAACGATCATAACTCGGTCCCAGAGGCCCATGAGGATGAACTCTTGTAGGATTTTTCTAGTCTTGCTAAGATTTCCTTTTGAGCGTAATATAAGCTCAAACGGTTAGTATCGATTCGGATTGTTTCCTCATAAATGGCTGTGTTGTTCAACACGTATATACAAGGTACTGTGTTCAAACTTCAGCATCATCAGTCATGGAATGACCATGAACAAGTCATTTAACGGCTGTTTGTCTCAAACCACTCGTCCGATAGCATGCGGATTACGTTGTGACATACACCTACTCTTGTAGTTAGTTAGTGTGCATGCGGAGCTCAAGTAGCTACTGAATCTGTCGCTAGACAGCACTCCACACGCAAGGTAGCCGAAAGGCAAGAGTATTCTTCCTTCTACAAAAAAATCTGCTTTACTAGTATATTGCTATCCTAGCCACAAAAGACGAAATGTCATGAGTCTCATCGTGTTGTATCCGATCTTCTTTTCTATTTTTGTTTTTTTTATGAAACATTTTTCAATTTTCTAAATAGTGCATTTTCTGATTTTTGCATCGATAAACGATTACATGATGGATATCAACGATGATGTTTTGATTTCTCATAACTGTCATATGACTAACATAAAAGTATTTACTGGTTAAGTTCTAACTTTCAAGAATAATCAATATCAGTGTTTCTGAATTAATAATAAATCGTTAAGATCTACTATAGATATAACGAATGTATACAATAGGCTTATTTGTACATTAAATCAATGGATAGACTAATAATAATAAATTATGAAAAGAAAATAAATACCATACGAATAACAACAAAATAAATTTTAAAAAAAACGAGTGCCGATCAAAAACAAAATTTCAGTTCGAAATGTAGGAATAAAAAAGATAGAGCGTTTGATAACAATCGAATATCATTAGAGAAGAACTTCAGCCTCAAATGGACTGCGCGAACAAGATTTTTCTTTACAAACACTATTTTAATAAACGTACCATTTTATGGACTATGTTTTTGTTTATGAAAGAAATTTTATTTCAGAAACAAATAACTTTTCATAATATGATGACATTGTTTTATTATTTAAATCATAAATAGGATAAAAAGTCTAATTCATCACCTTAGCATCGTTGAGCAAAATATATTTTTCAAATTAAATTTCAAAAGAAACAACAACAATAATAAGAAAAAAAATCATCACAGAATGCTACAGATGCTACAACTAGCAATACTATTATCAACATTTGGTTGCTGATGATAATTTGTTATTGGACCAAGACGATGTTCCAAATGAACGGAACTACGTATTTGAAATGGTTGATTTAAAGATGTACCAACAGTTGGACCAACATTAGCAACTGTTAAAACAGGTTCAATAGGTCTTACATGATGATCACTACCATCTATGTCATTATCATCATAATCATAATCATCTTCACTCATACTACTATTAGAACTTTCATGTGAATTAAGTGAATCAACATTTTGACGACGATTATTTCGTGCTTGTTTTGCGTGTCGAGCCGTTGTTAAAACAGCACAAGTTGATGATGGATGATTTGTACCACGTTGATCAAGTGACGAGGAATGTACTAATCGATGAAATGTACTTGGTGATGATGATGTTGTATGACGTGCGACAACCGATGCTATCTCATTGTATCGTGCTTGTAAATCAATTGCTTTACCACTACCACCATGTCCACCGGCACCTATATACACATTATCATTAGTTATTAATAAAATCTATATATTATTGACATCAAAATATAAGACAGATCCATGTTTTTTTTTTCAATAGCTTTTGATAGAAACAACATAGAGACTTTCGATTTTCACCATTCAAAAGAAAAAACTCGGGCTCATCAAAATTTGAGTAGTCAACTATTGATCAATCAGATGAACTCCTAATCAAGATTTTCGAAAATGATATTTTAAAGTCACTTTCCAGACTTACAATAGAACCAATCGATAGAAAACAATCTTCTCTTTCGGTCTACGCAAGATCAACATTCCTAGCTTGTTCCGTTCGAGAGTTATAAGATGTTTCCTAGAACTTATGATTCCAGCCAATTGACCTGTGATGATCTTCAAAAGTAACTAGACATGGGCAATTCACTGTACTATGTCGAATGGTGATATTTGTTTTGTAAGTTCGAAGTGATTTGACATTGTTATCTCAATATTTCTGAAATTACATAATCAGCCTCCATATATAACGAAGGAATCGATATATCGAAAATATTCAGATATCATTGTCAAATCAGTTTGAACCTAAAAACAAATATCACCATGTGAGTCAGCACGGTGAATTACCCCTGTCTAGCTGCATTTCCAGACGATCACAAGTCAATTGGCTGAGATCGAGAGTTTCGGGAAAATTCTTATAACTCTCGAATAGAACAGGCTAGGAATGTCAGCCTTACACACATCGAAAAAAGAACAATTTCTTCTATCAATTAATTCTATTGTAAGTCTAAATTGAAAGCAAAATGGCTACAGGATATCGTTTTCAAATATCTTCACCAAGAACACACCTGATTGGTCAATTTCTGACCAATCAAATTTCTATGACTTCAAGCCTTTTCTTTTGATTGGTGAAAACCGAAAATCTCTATGATGTTTCTATAGAAATTTATTGAAAAAACATTAATCTGCTTGATTTTTCGGATGTCGATAATAGTACGAAAATTTTTACCTTTTAAATCTACATAAGTTAATTGTGAAAGAATTAAACTTGCAGCACCAATTGGTGGCCATGGTGTTGATTCAAACATAACTGGTACAATAGGTTTTTTAAGCATATCAGCTAAGATTAATTCACGTTGACACATATTCGAAACAAGATACATTGGTGTTAAACAACAGATTAAAACCTAAATAGAAAAGAAAATATAAAAAAAAAAGAGAAAAGAAAATCATACGAATTATTTTAATTACTTTAGCATTTCGTATTCCATGATCAATTTTTTCATATAATAATTCTCCGCCACCAATTTGT